GCTGTTGTGAGCAAGTGAAGGGTTGTGCTCGTGTTTCTGGCTTTGGCAGCCATTTTGTCTCCAGCCCTGCCCTTCATGTTCCACCACTGTTCCTGCTACAAAGAGAGTAGTCCGTGACACAGGCTAGAGTTTGTAGAGGTGAGCTATATTCACAGATGCTGCTTCCCTCTTCTGTGAAGGTATTTACAGCTGCATATGAACCTGCTAAACTAGCACCAAGTACTAGAAACTAGAATTGTATCTTCATGACTGGCATCTGGTGATTGAGATACATGTACTTTGCTCTGCTGTTCCTCCTCTACATAATCAGTTGTGGATGGTCTGGCACCTGGAGTTTACATACTTAAAGCCCTTGAAAGACAAACCTGAGTGACCTTGAAGAGAGCTGCAGCTACTCTGGAACCTTGGCCTTGAATTCTGCCACTGTAGTCACGCATCTCTGGCACTGAGGGGGCAACTGTACTTCTGCGTCAGTTGTCCAAAGCTTAAGTCAATACATGATGGAGCTAGCTTTGGTCCTGTAGACTTTAACATCATGAATATCTTAATGGCTTTACCACAGCAGTGTAATGGGTAGCATTCTTAAGTATTGGCTCCCTAAAACCCATCTGTACATTAATTTGTCTGGTAGACTTCCTGATACTTGGCAGAAGAGCTCAGACAGTGGGAATCTCCAGTACGAGCTCTCCAGTAGCTAAAAGGTCGTGTGTAAGAACAATCTTCTGCTCGTGGTCATCAGATGCTTAATGCTACATTGCAAATGTTTGAGGCAATTCTTGCGCATAAAGGCTGGAATAATTCTACAGCAAGCTTAAAAGCAGACATAGTTAAGACAAGCAATTATAGTAAGGTTTTCTTAGTAGAACAGGGGTTTGCTGTGCACCTGCTCTGTCTCTAGATCCCTGGTGAAGAGGAACGCTACCCACAGACTGCCGATAGCAGCTGGTCACTGACGTATGTGTTCAGAATCCCACCTGGAAGGGCAGAATTGTTCTTTACACAGTGAGCTTCACATCAGCTTGTGAACATATGACTTGTTCATATGTAATCTGTTTTCAGTTGCAAAGAGATTTTACCAGGGTGCAGGCTTAAGGTTCTCAAGTACATGAGCTGTGCACCACTCGAGGATGAGGCTTTGGCATTGCACTCGCAGAGCAAGGTACCCTGCGGCTACCCTGACAGCACCAGAATGAGTATCTTGCAGTGTAAAAAGTTTTGTTAGGGAACCAGCAATAGTATGCTGCTCTGCATCTTGTGTGTTTTAAAAGGAGGGATTTGTTGCTAATATTGTATTTGAGACTTTCTGTTGAGGGCAAGATACATGTCTAATGTTTGAAAATGTCCCCTCCATTGCACAAAAAGGAAAAACAGGAAGCAACACTATCTCTGCAAAGGCAGTAGAGTTTTGTTTAAAAAAAAAATTTTGTTAATCACAGTCTGCAACTTCGTGTAAAAGTTGAGTTACAAAATAGCATAAATATTTTGTTTTGCCAGTAATGTCTGTCCTCTTTCCTTTGAAGAGGACTGATTCTCTTCTGTCTTGAGGATTAATGGATTTGCTCAAGAAATGGCTTTAATTTGCTTTACTAAACTGAGTTGCTACTAGCTGTTTTACAACTGATTCATGTCTTCCTTTCCACATCTTCTGTTGCAGTAGTTTAAATGTCAGGATTTACTTTGAACTTTATTCAGATGTAACATAAGGGGATTGTTAAAAATCTGTTTAATTTAAACTTTTACACTCTCTTTCTTTAAACTGATGCGGGTGCTACATGATAAAATAACCCAGTACAGCTGCTGGCCTGGCTTGCTCTGAATTTGAATGTGTTTCAGACTGTGAATGAGGAATCCTGCCCCTGCTTTGCTCCTGGCAGTGCCCTCCTTTCGCTGTTTGAATACTGCCTGTGGGGCAGAGCAGGCAGCGGCCAGCTGGGTCCCAGCGGCCCGGGCCCGTGGGGTGAAGCCCCTTGCCCATGTTGCCCCTCGCTTGCCCCGGCAGGAGGAGGGGAAGACGCCCTGGTCTCTGAGCCGGGTGTGGCAGCCCCGGGGGCACTGCAGGGACAGGGGTGCTGCAGTGGGAGGACACAGGATTGCAGCTGCAGCACTCGGGGTGCCTTGCAGGCAGCTGGAGGGTACCCCTGCGGTGGTGGGCAGGGGAGACTTCTGGGTTTTTTCTGTTGCAAAGTCAAGGCTGTCAATCTAAAGCATCCACTCTTGCCTGTCTGATAGGATTCCTTTATACCCTCAGCATTTGAAATTGCTTGGTATTTTTTTGAAACATCTCAGTGTGCTGAACTCAAACTTCTGCTGTAGATTCATCTTGACTGTTCTCAAGTACTCCATATGTAAGTGGGGCTTTTCCTTGTAAGGATTACATTTAATTTCAGGAAACGGGCAAGGAGCTGGCAGGAGACTTTTCTTCTTAAGTATTTTTTCACACTAGTGTGAGAACTTCACACTCTTAACAAGCCTTGGAATCTTTATGCTTCTCCATGCTCTGGTTATCCATGCCTTTCAGTTAACCAGCACTCGCTTTCAAAAACATGAACCCACTTCACAAGTCCCCTGCATTTGCTGGTTCAGAGCACCTAGCCAGCTGCTGTAGGCAAAGCAGCTAAATTCAGTTCCTGTAGATCGGTGTCAGGGGAACCTCGTTCCTCTGAACAGGGCTTTCCTTTCTGTGATACCGGCCTGTGACACTTCACTGTGCTGACCCCTGGAACCCTTCCAGCTTGAAGCCCAGTGCCTGGACTCCAGCCATGGGTCAGTGTGGTGTGCCCACGCTCTGGGGCTGCTTACATTAGCCACCCCTGGCTGTGAGGGGTTTTTAACTGGATGGAAGAATATTATGTTGCCTGTTAGGCTTTTTTTGTTGTGCTAAGTTTTGTGGCCTTTCGGGCACCAGAGGACAGAAGCTCTCTATCAGAAGAGAGAGTGAAAAACCATGTTGCTTAACAAAAGGCAGTTAATGCCTCATAAGTTTTCCACTCCCGAGATAACATTTGCAGTATAAATACAAACTCTTCGTGGGCTAGAGAAAGCGTAGCTCTTAGCTGAATTCTTAGTTCTCTGCAGTTGAAATTTGAAGACTTCGGCCACTTGTTAGACATGTAAATAACAGTGAAAACAGCTAACTGGGACTGTTGGCACACCAGGAGTGTCCTCGTGTGACTTCCCTGATGGCGGTTATTAAACCCCCTTTTCCATCTTCCTGGTCAGAAGGAAATACATAAGCAATGAAAAGCAGGAATTGCTGCTTGATTCGTGATCTGTGAAGAACCATTTTAAACAGAAGCAATTAAGAGCTGTACCCACTGGCCACCTCTGCAAAGTGCTGAAATGATTTCATTAAATTAATAAAAAAAGGTGGTAGTCCCTGAATGTTGCGTAGCTGGAAAAGTTTGTTTACGTAGTCTGAACATATCTCCACAGGATGGGGGGGAGGGAAGAGGTGGGAGTGTTAGAATTTATAGCAGTGTTTTAAGTATGCAAAATGTTTACTATGTATGTAAATGGGATTCTTATTAGTGACAGATCATGTGCAAATTGACAAAACTTCAATTTATTTTTGAATGGCAATATAGATTGTCAAGGTTGTGTATAATTATAATAAATATATAAACCGCTACTTGAACCAGAAATGACCACCCAAGACCTCATTTTTACATCAGTATTCTTAAGAGAAGCTTTGTCTGATGTCATGGGTTGATAGAACGTAGGTTTGTCCAAAAGGCCGCTGGTAAGAAAGAGGCATTTTTGGTGGCTCACCTTGTCCTGCTTGTGGTTTCTCTGCTGCGCCACTGTCCCGGCCGTCGGCAGCCTCCTGCTGCCAGGCTGCACCTGGTGAGTTCCCTGGGGACACTGACTCCGCTGCAGCCCAGACAGGCTACCGCTTTGCCGCTGGGGACCTGCAGCAATCTTCCCATCTCCAGCCACATGTGTGCACATGGGTGAGCACAAACTGCCACATTCCAAGTAATTCCTCTCTCGCGAATGATTTACTGCACAAGCGCTTTGAAGGTGGTAACCCTGTGCCTTGCACTGCTCAGGGAAGGTGGTGGCTTTGGGCATCATTGGTTCTCTGAGCAAAGCCTGGAGCACAGCAGTAGCCAAGCAGCAGCCCAAGGGCTTACTCCAGGAGTTCTTTCCTGTCTTAGAGTGCAGTGGAAATCCCTCCATCCTCCACCAGCACGCAATGACTGCAGAATATCTGCATAACCTATACACGTGTATCAAAACCCAGCATCTCTCAGCATGCTTATATCTGGCTTTCTCAATACACTTCACAGGCTTCACAAAGTCCGTATTTCTTCCAGTCTTTGCATATTTGGATCTCAGTAATTAAAGTCTGATAAAATCTTTCAATGATACCACTAATTTCACAGGCAAGGTTTGGGATTTTGGGGTGGGGAAAGGTCCTCCCTATAAAAAAAGCAGTATATATACATGTATGTATGTATACATAGGTATGTGCGTATGTAAAAATGTACAATCTAGAAATCAACTCCGTGTGCTTAACAACAGTCAGGACAGGAGAAAATACTGCCCTTAACCTGCTTTGCCGTCTGAGACCTCGGGGTACTGAATCAGCTGGCGTACGCGCCAGTATTTCCCAGCTGTGCAAGGCTGCTCAGCATCAAGGAAAGCATTCCACCGTC